GATCTCATGCAAGAAACCACGAACTCGAAGAACTTGATTAAGTCCGTGGCCAGGAAACCACACCGTACACTGTCTCCAGAACTCCACGACAACAGCGTCACAATGCCGCCCAACCTTGTTCTGGTGACTCGTCAAGCGTCCAGGAGGCAGGGCACGTGGATCGTCCTCCGTTTCTCGTTAACCAAACCTTTTTAGGGCCATGAAACCAGGGTGATGCAATTGTTGTATGTTACCTTGGCATTATCCTGTTAATGGACACATGAGTACATGAAAATGGCCTTAATTTTGAACCGCACCGTACACAAGAGTCTTTATTGTCGCTTGTCGTCTGGACTCGAGTGTATCTGGTCAATATCATGTCATTAGCATATTTGGTGTGAATGCCACCCTTACCGTAGCATTACTTTTGGATTGGCTTGAATATATAATATGTATTTAAATGTTTCAATGCGGAACAAAGATTGGAGGCTAACTCTGGTGACAAGGCTATGATTTCTGCCAGATGCCAGCCATTGTTTTCTTTCATTGACAGCACTTTCCCGTTTCATAACAGGTTGGATTGCTTAATATAAACACAGTTATTATTCATTCTGACGTTTTTGCTCTCATGCAGAGGCTATCTTTTCGGTTATTATTTCACGTACATTTTTTCATCAAACAATGAACAGCGGAGTACGCATGCGTGCGCATTTCACGCGAGCGGAGCATTGTTCTGGTGAAATATGGGAGACATAAATCTCTTCTGCATGATAAACCACAAGTTATGTTTCTTGTGTCTGAGACCTTTTTTGGGTGTGTAATGCCCTATTATACGCACTAGTAGGTGGACGTCCTTTCTCTTTTAACATACGCCAGCGCATTTTAAAAAAAATCCTCTTCCTCTCCCCAAACTTTTCCATGGATCAAGATTTTGCAAGTTGTTTTAAAATAAAAACATTTTGAAGGTACGAAAGCATTTGTAATCCTTACTTGCCCCCGCTGTAAACAAAGTTTATCCCGGAAGCTTAGATATGACTCGGCTTAAAAAGTTTAAGGTAACTTAAGTTCTGTGAGTTTTTTAGCTTTATTTTCAATTCTGTCTCAAGTGTGTATATAGCCGTGCTCTCACGTTATTAATATTAACGTTTTAGAATATTGTTCATGATGGCGACTTTATTCGTTTTAATGTGTCAAGATGGTATTTGGGACTAACCCATCATTATATTAGTGGTTTTTGTATTAACTGACGTTACCTTAAAACCAGAACGACAGGGGGTCATTAATCCTTGTTAAATATTACCCAATATTTATCGAAAACACGCACGCGCGCACACACACGCATGCGCACGCATAATCGTTTATAAACACGTGCACTAGATTGTCCTTGCAGTTTCACGTGCTCTTGTCTTAAAAACTGTCCATCATCTGGAGAGAGCGTTAAGTTAAGTTAAGGTCGAGAGAGGCTATCTGTGTAATCGTTTTGGAGCAAGCTACTAAAATACCGGACTTAAACCTGAACCCTGCGTTTCCAAGTGTCATGTTTAGGTGAGGGCAGGTGGGTTTGTGTCAGATAGTAAGTTTTTTATAGACCACGTGCTGTGACCCCATATGATTAGAGGTATTATTTCTTTTATCTTCTAAGTCATCTTAACTTAAGGACAGAACACCGTTTTGCCCGTGTACAACAGGTTACGTGGAGAATGTGATCACACACACGATATATTGACTTACACTGTATTCTTTACTTTTACAAATCGCTGAACATTACTCATTTAATTACCTAGTTTAATTACCTAGAGGTAGGACGGTCCCTGCTGACTAATTAACAAAGTAAATTGATTCTCTTTTAAACATTTTCCCATTCAATATTTTATGCCACGGTATGCAAAAGCGTGTGCTTGTCTTAATACGGGAAGTGAAAATACCGTAATAAATCCTTAACTTTAACTGCTATTTTACATTACGGATTGTTAATTGTTTCAATATAATGTTTTTAATGAGAGAATATTTCGGTTGCGACATTTCGTTAGGTATGGCAATAAGACACAATACTGGATATGATTAAATGGTAGAACGAAGAACAATGTTGTAAAAGTTGCCGATGAAGATTTTATAGAAGGTGAAAAAGGACAGGTTACCCGCGTGTACCAGCAGAGATTGCGGCACATGCCTCTAAGAGAAGGAACGCCGTCGAAAATTCAAACACCCGGATAAAATTATTTAAAATACAAACGCTCAAATAATCCAACAAACTTTTTATAAAGAAAAACCAGAAGTGCATTCATTTGGCTCTGCTTTGTAACTCGTTAAAGGAGTGTCAGTTTTAGTTGATAAACACAGAACACAACAGTACTTAACCACAGGGTAAACTGCGGTTTTCATGTTTGTAATTTACTGAGAATGTTGGTTTTAATCTTAGCCGAGATTCTGGCAGCTTATTTAGAACTGCCTCCTTAGTGCAAGACAACCTGTGACGTTATGAAGTCATCTGTGGATACTATTTTTTTTTCAAAACGCTGATAATCAGCCAATTTTTTAACGTGTAAAAACAGAGAATACATGATCCCAAAGGAAGAAATAGGGACAGCTAATTGGACTTTAGACCAAACGTTTTTTTTCTGTTATTTGAAGTCTCTACATTAACTTACAAGCCTCGTCTCTATTGTGTATTCTCTACCTCACACTAACACTGGTGAACGTTCTTGAAGAGGAGAAAAAAAGTCTTATCAACGAAAATTACAACTTTTTTGGTTGTGTTGGACATTGGACCAAGCTAATATTGCTTGATGCAGAAAAAATGACAACATATAATAAACATCAACAAGTATGAAAAGATCAAAAATGCCAAAAAATAACGATCCTTGTTTATTATCAAAGCACGTGCCAGGCTAATGAATCACCCTGCTGCTAACAATAGGAAATGAAAACAGTTCATCAGAGGGAGAGAGGAGATTAACCCATAACTGTTTTCTGACTGATTTCCGTACTAACGGAGAGTAATTAATAAACGATGCCACTTATCATGGAGCGTTTTGAAATATTCTGGAATCGATTGTGGGGACAATTGAACGCACTTGGACGCGGCTACCACGCTCTGGCCAAACAAAAGAATCGTGTATATAACTATTTGTTTATTAAATGTAATGAAAAAAGGAAACTTGTAGGGATGCGGTTTGCAGTGTGGTATAAATATATTATATAAATATTTACTAATGGTTATACAAAATGGCTTAATTAAATGGTTGACTAAAATGGTTATGTAAGATACAATTGATTACTGCGATAAATTCGGCAATAATTTGTTTGTCACCTTGTCTTGTAACCTTTCTGTTTATTTTCCATTTATCAAATTGTATTCAGCGTCTATATAAAGAAATTCATTAAATGGACTAAACCAGATAACCAACCCTCGTTCATTCCTTCTTTTCGCTGCTGTTGTTCAGTTGAACTGAGTGGCCCACATAAACGTCATATGTCCGAGATGTACCCCCCCCTTGACTGGAAGAATTACGCTGCACTCAGCATTACCAGGAACTACAGCCGCGGTAAGAAATGAAGCTGTCAAACTTAGGAGGGGTTTTCTGGAGCAGTCCACTGCGGTCATTCCTTTGTGGTCATTTCTCGGACATAACGGTGGGCCTGTATGCTTTCTCTGGAGATTGGGGTCTGGATGAGGAATTGGATTTAATTGATGAAGGATTGAGTGAGTGTGGAGAGAATGGATTAATATGAAGAGTGCCAGTGCAGTGACTGGTTCTGGGAACAGGAGCACGTTGCAGGAGGGGGTTGGGGGGTAGTGTGTGCCATCTACTTGATGACAAGGGACTGTCCCTTTCCTTTCCCTCCCAAATCACCCCGCCCCATCCTTTCATTTACCTCCCCCCCTCCCCACCCTGCCTCGCACCCCCCTCCCCCTCCCAACCCTGCCCCGTACCCCCCTTCCCAAACCCGCTGTTCAATTGTCAGTGACTTACCAAAATGATTACATGTAACAGCATAAAACTTACATAGTAACGTCTGAAAAATTGGCGTCATGAGGCATATAAATTACAAAACATAATGACTGGAAATGAAGTTGAACGTTATCTACATTGCCCTAATATCCACAGTGACGCACGCGAACTACAAGAGCACGTTTTGCCATAAAAAGAAAAAAGCTTTCCTGTCACGAGCGACAAATTAAGGCCGAAGTGGACTTTTTCCATGTATATACGGTAAGCATTATCTACTTTATCGGGACATTTTGAATCGATCTTGATTAAATCTAAATGGAATTCTACTTCTTGGTGAAGACCTTAAAATTGAGAGAAAGTTTCTTTATATAATTACAGCGCGCTAATGATATACGGATATTAAATTGTACTAAGGCTCAGTTACTAAATGAATTAAAGAAAATCTAATTATGGAAGCAGCCTCGTGTTTGAACGGGGGAGTAATGAAGGTTGATGACGATACTGTAGGCGTTTAATGACACCGGGCATGCTGTAAACCTACCAATTATATCACTCTGGCCCAAGGATTCGCGTTCTATTGTCTAATGTGCCGCACAACCTCAATAAAGAGTCGTGTGCGTTTGTATGAGCAAAGAAACAGCGATCATAGGGAAGAACAGACAGCTTTCACCATGAATGCCACTGGTTTCATCATAGTTTTGCTGGTGAGTACACTTTTTAGACAAAAGTGTTGAGTTTATGTGTTGAAAGAATTCGATGCCGATTAGCTCTGTGTCAGGAAGCTTGTCTTACGGTAAGTGTGTCTTTGTTATGCTTTTCTTTATACAGAATTACCGTTCAATTTAGGAATTTTACTATCGAATTGCAAGACATATGTATCTATGCCAAATACTGTGAAATAATTTGTATCTAATGTTTGCTGTATTTCCAGCTGAGCCTGGCAAACTCAGTGACTGGCCGGTCATTGGCTACAGCTCTGGGACATACTGACCACAGCCACAACCCCACACCGCCAGTGACCAGTAAGTCTCTCTCTCTTTCTCTCACCTTCATTGATTCCGTTTTTCTATTTAGCTTATAATGAAATATACATTATCAGACGTTCCCAGTCCCTGCAACCAGAAATATTCAAGCAAGTTCATTTTGGAACCTGTTTGTTCTGTACATCCTATGTATTGTATGTCACTATAACTGTGGTCACGTATTCCCCGCTAGACCCAGAGCTGCGAATGCTGCAGACCAGTGCCGTGAAGTGGAACGCTACTATAGGTGAGTACGCAGACTGAGGCGCCTGCTTAAGCATGTGTTTGTTAGACTCCATGTTACCGTGTGTGCATGTGTGCACGTGCTGGCATGTTTTCAAAACTTAATGGTTAAGAGATGAGCAGCTATAAAAACTACAGGTTGGTGTTCAGTCGACTTTGTCTAGGGAATATGTCTCTTTTACCTTTGCTCATAGATTGTGTAAGATATGTATATTTCCGCACCCCTTCTCTCTCTCTCTCTCTGCATTCAAAAACCGTCTCGCATCCCCTGGGCAAAATTCTATTTCGATGTTGCAAGTCCATTGAAACATTGCATGTAATTAGAGTTCAGTAAGATGATGATCGTGTGTGAGTGAGAAATACCCACCACACGTGCGTTATATAGTGCTGTTCACATAATACTATAAAAGAATTTAAGACCTTAAATAAAAATTTTCGACTAATAAATAAAAAATATATTGATTAGAAACCATGTTATACCCTTTTTCTAGTTTACAAGTGATTTTATGTGGAATGATTGCGAATAAGCACATGTTACATAGAATGTAATGCAGCAACTGCGTTTGGCAGATTCCAGATTGCGTTTGTTGCGATTGCGTTTTCACAACCACAGTTGGTATCACATTGTGTTTTGTCGTAGGAATGTACGTCCTGAAGAACGGCGACTGTGTCACCCAGGGAGACATCATGCTGAGCAGTGAGGAATGTTTTCTGTGGGCCCAGAGGATCAGGGAGAACCGGGAAAAACTACGTCATCGCCACGGGAACACAGAGGAAGAAGAACGGACGCACGCCCATGGTACTGGTGGTAAGAGTGCCGGGATGGAAGATGAGGAGGAATTGGAAGGTAAAGCACAGAAAGCGGATTTACTTCTTTCAAAGGATGCCCTCTTTGTCCTAGTTAGTACAGGATTGAGTCTTGATTTCGTATGTAATATTAAAAACGGCGATGCCAAGGGATGGAAGAGAGCAGAAAAGGGGTTTCTTTTCTTTTTTTTTCTGTAATCTCTTTTCTCATCTTTGACATGTTAACTAACCTTCAAGTAGTATATTAACTTATCGCGCCAAATATATAGGTAGGGTAAATTGGCATGTTTCCAAATATTTTTATGTAAATACGACCATAATCGCTCTATTGTAAACAAAAATCTGATACAAAATCCTCCTTTCTTTCGAATTTTCATTTTTTCCAGAGATCTCCAAGAGAAAATCTGAATCAAACACAGCGCCGGAGCAACTCACTAATTACCGCAAGAACTGGCGGGTCTACCACAAGCACCCAAAGAATAAAGATGTTAAAAGATCCCACCAAGCCGAGCAACGCAGAGACACCGAAAATGACGAGGACCAGGAAGAAAAATCAGGAGAGCATGATGATGACGTCACAGGGCGCCACCAGTCTGTCCACAGCAGTGGAGAGCATGGTTTTAAGAAGTCATCTCATCACGTCAATTCACCCGAGGAGGTTGCGGACCACCGTTCATCTGGTCATGACGATGACGTCAGTGGGAGTAAACGTCATCATGGCGAGCGTGACGTCACAGGCAAAGATGAAAGTGACGTCAATAAGAGGTCCGATCACCCCCACTCCCCGGCCGGGGTGGTACTCTATCATAAAGGGCGCGTGGTTGAGACGTCACACTCTGAGGAGCAGAAGCACAAGCTGAAATTGCCAAAAGATGCTGGGAGCCCGGCGCGCATGCGCGGATTTTCTTCTGCCAGTGCCGACGTCTCTGGCACCAGCAAGAGAGATGATGAATTTGGTTTTGCTAACATATGATTAAGACACATAATCTTAACTGATTGACGTACAGCATAAAGTTTTAAATCAGCTAGAAAATGAGACTTTTTAACAATATTTACACAGTGTATACTCAACACTTATTTACTTTTTGCAGTCACACTGTGTTCCTTATGGTTTGCACTGAACACTGAAAATTTATTCTATATACAATGTAAATATTTCATCAATTATTGTAGCATAAATACATTTTGCAAAGAAATTCTAAATTGTCTTCATTTATATCATTATTTCTGATCCAATGTCATTATTATGAACTGATTATAAACAAACAATTTACCATTACAATTTTGATCACTAAATTTACCATTTAGTGATCAAAAACCTTGTAATTTGATAAGATAAAATATTCCAGTATATTACCAAATTGTCTCCAGTCGTCCATGTCAATCGATGGATGTTGACCCTTGTCGTCATGTAACTGTCTGGTACTGGCCTCGGGTCCCGGGGGATACAGCTCACTGCCGGGGTGACTGGAATGGTAGTCCCCTAGGGATAGTATTCCGTTCTCCATTACTTTGTACTGGGTACAGCTGGTATTCTCTCACATACCTACCCCAATACTACGACTTACCCTAACCTGTACTAATTATATGGGACTTCCCTTTCTAGGACTGCCATTCCTGTCACACCTGTCAATACTCAGACGTCACGCATAAACAAACGTGGCATAACTATTACTGTTCGTACATTAGCTAATTGCGGGCTGTAGGCGTATTATATCTTCTTCTTTTGGTAGTTTGTTCATTACTGAATTTATCGCACTTGTCTGCTATGGAATTTATGTTCCAGTCAAATTTTATTAAATCTGTGAGTGCACGGACATTTGACTTTTATGATACATAATTTTACAGGTATGAAATACCAAGCGTGCCTTTTACTCGTTAATGCTGTTAGTTATGATCATTGCGTCTGCACTGGTAAAAACCATTTTAAAATATCAAACATGTAAGAAAAATCGAAACAAACAAAGATCAAGCGGGTGAGATTCTATGGCTATCTATAGCTATTCAGGTGACAGGCGGTGGAAGTAATGGGATTTCTTTATGTCGACATAACACAATGTCAACCAGGGCATGAGGTAGAGTCACATGTATCAAAGTTAATGTCCAATTACTTTTAATTTTTTTTTAGTTGGAAAACTCTGTGGTTGAAGCATGCAAACCTCAGCATGACAAGCTCAGTGCCTCAACAAACCTAAAAATGAACGTATATTTGGAACATGATTTATTTGTTACATTAACTATTCCCAAATGGTCTACATGGCAATTGTCTCAATTGTCTCATGACAATTGTCGGTTTCGAATCAGTTCCGTGTGTCGTATTCCAGAAACACGCGCAGTCCATCCCAGATTGCTTATTTCGTGCGTAAGCTCTATCAAACTGATTAAAACTGTTCTGGCTAGGAAATTAATCAGAGGTTTGTGAACAGATTGCTTGTTTTGGCATTTATAACAGTACCTTTTCAGCACAAACCAAAGTGATGAAAACAGTTCATTGACGTTAGTCTTTCCAATATAATCTTTGAAATTACTTCATCAGAACACAACGTAACAGGAAATCTTTGTTGACGGTCAGAAATGTAACAAATGGCTCAGGAAAACAAAACCTGTTTCCAGTTTGCATCCAACAGTAGCAACATAAGCGACAGAGTGGTACCCTACTTAGTTGACGTCATTGAGTCTGCCAGGAGTGGGTACATGAGCACCATGAGAGTCCTACTGCCCTGTGAGATCTGTCAGTGCGTGGTGGGAGTCATCTTGAATGTGTTGTCTTTGGCAGCGCTCAGTCAGATGAGGAAGCCAAGGAGTCCCTTTCACGTGCTGCTGTTGCTCCTGGCTGTTGCAGACCTGGTTTACATTGTTACTCGAATGTCAGCGTCTGTAGGGGTCCTGGTATACCTCCGATCACCCAGGAATGCAGAACCCATCAAAACTAACAATGATTGTTTAAACGACATTCTCACTGATATTAATAAATACTGCATGATGGTTCCGTTTTTCGTCACCACGGGGATCGTTGTCAACCAGTATATCGCTGTCTCACGACCGCTAAGATATAAAACCATAGTTACCAAGAGGCGAATCAGTGGCATGTTTTGTCTTTCTATACTTTTTACGGTTGCGATCTTCTTGGGACTTCACATCAGTGTCTACTTTCTTCACACAAATCACTTGTGTAGACAGCACTTCTTGGGGATATATCTGTATTTGGCGTGTTGGTGTTTGGGGGTATTAAGTGTGCTTCTCATGATATTTAATGTTATTCTGTATGCTATGATATATCTTAGTGCACACCATACGGTTACATCGGCGCTTCCTTCACTGCATAACAAGAGTGAAGAAGAGTCGAAGAAGCTGACTGCCACTATAGCATTGCTGCTTGGAACTTTGATATTATTTTGGACTCCAGCAGTTGTCACACTTTACCTGATTGCAAACATTGTTTATCAAAAGTACGTGATTTCTCAAGAACTGGGACTGGCTGAACTTGTGACTGGTTTAATATCAGGACTAAATCCTGTAATGGACCCAATTATTTACGGCATCAGGCTCAGAGAGGTGCGAGAAGGGTACAGCACCCTGTGGAACAAGATGAAAAAACTCTTCAGTTTCAAAGAAGCGGGCCACGAGCAGCAATCGGAGGTTTATAATACAAGGTTTTAAAGGACAGGTCACGGGTGTCACTCATAGATTATGATACAAAGCGATACGCTGGGATTCGACAGCAGTAAAACAAAGAGACGAACAAACAAGTCAGAATAAGAACGCATCCAGAAGTCTTTACTGCATGGTTGTTACACTGTATCTAATATAATTTTATGAAAACGACTTTTAACTTTTAAAAGACAACATTCCCATCCGTTGCCTCTCAAGTGTTGTCCATGGAATTTAATATTAAATACCCTGAATTATATCAATATGTGACTTTTATTCACATGCTATTTCTTTCATTTCAGCATATATGTAAATTGTATCAATCTCTCATTTGTAAAATACCCTAAGGGACTATGGTGATGAACATATTGAAAGCAGGTTGGGGTGTCGTTGTACTAAGGTGTCATATTTACCTGTTGAGATACCTGGAATTTTTGTTTTTGAGACTCTTAAGGAAGAAAGTCGGCACAGTTGAATGTCTAGCGCAGTTGTCACAGACGTAACGAAAAATTTGCATGCAGTTAATCGTCATTGGGTTTTAATTGAACGAATATTTGTATCATTGCATAAAATTTGTTTTCCAAAACTAATCTAACATGTCAGCTAATTTTGGAATGATATTTGTTAAAAAACACATTTAAACATTGTTATCAGCGGTTGTTATTAGAAGGAGAGTTAAATGAAAAATGAAAGGGAAAGGAACACCAAAAACATTTTTGGTGGACAATATAAAATACGGAACAATCAAGTATATATAGCGAAAGCATAGAAGTGTCTTAAGATCGAGAGGCATGGCCATCCATGACCGCCAACATGCTGAGAGTGGATAGCACCCAATGACTGTGACATTATCTAGTAATAATATAATATAATATAATATAATATAATATAATATAATATAATATAATATAATGACGCCAGGGTTGTAGATATGTTGACGTAGATCTTGTTATTTCAATACCTTTGCAGGCAATTTGTATAATAAAACAAATAGTGAAGAAAAGTGCCCTCTTGATTGTGCTCTGTAATATTGCACGATTTGCCTAATATCATTAAAACGCAAAACCAAGAATGTTGTAGCAGAATCTCCTAACACAAACCTTAAAAGTTAACAACTTTCAGTTGAAAAGCAATGAAATTTGTTTTACCTGTGATCTCCTTGACCTGCGTAAAGCTAACCAAAACCTGCTTGCCAAGTAAACAAACAACTAAGCTTGCCCCCAGGTTAATTACGGTATTCTGAGCCGACGGTTTAAAGTAAAATTACCCAAATTGTTCATAGCTTAATGTTTTCAGGCAAAGTTTGCTCTTATTTTGAACCAAACGCACTATGGACTATGGGTCTACTCTAGAGCGAAAGCTCTTTCCATGGACATTATCAGAAATTGTTCCACTCTTACTAATTTCCCTTTTTTTACGCCAGCAGGATGAGAGTTTGGTCCACATTCTTCGGTATCCGTCCTTCACTTCCGGTAGTCTGATGCCATACACAATGGGGTCTATTATCGGGTTCAGAAGCGCAAACAGACCCGCAATTTTCTGGGCAAGGAAACGTCCGTAAGGGTCAAAGGTCGAATCATTCTTGATTGAAAGCATCAGGAACAGCATCACCACGGCAGGCGTCCAAAACAGTATGATGGTGACAAGGAGAAGTCCGATGGTAACGTGCAGTTTTATATCTTTACGTATTCCTTGAGCGTGTTGGGAAGGCATGTCTTTTTTCAAAATGGCCTTAATCTGCCACCAAAGGAAGGTGTAAAGTGCGCAATTGAACAGTTCAAGGGCAGTGCACACTAACCCCAGGTACCAAGTTGAGCTCGAGAGATATTCACCATAAAAGTGCTGCCAGCAGTCCTCGCCATATTGACGTCCATTGAGATGCCCGATATGAAGAGACAAGTGTATGCAAATGGTCAGACTGAACGGTATGCCAAGGCTGAGTAAAACTCTTCGTTTGTTTACGATGGCAGAAAACCGAAGTGGGCATAAAATGGAAACTGCTTGGACAATAACGATACCCGTAGTTGCTACAAGTGGCGGTACCATGCATAATCTGGCGAAATCGTTCAATATTTCGTCCCAGCAGCCAAGACTCTCAGCCGAGAAAGCCTCAGAGGTGTTTGTATACAGCAGCATGCTCATAGCGTAGATGAAGTCTGCTGAAGAAAACAAAAGATCTGTACAAGCCAAGAACCTTAAAGCCAGATGAAAGGGAGAGCGGCGCGTTGGTTTTTTGACATGTAAAAAGACACGTTCCATCCCACATCTCCGGTTTTGGTATCCGACATGTTCAATTCCGTTGCTTTCTGTATTGGTGTTTCAAGTTCTGTTTTTATCCGTGGTTCAGGCTGAAGGATTAAAAAAGGTATAAACGCCATTGTCAGAGTATGCGGAGGTGCTTTTGTTGGAGCAGTAAAGATTTGTAACGGTAGCGGCGTTTGCAAGACAAAAGGAGAACTTGACACATTCATTTTGTAGAAAATTATCCTTTGGTTCTTTCAATTTGACCTGTCCAATTTCAACCGTTTTGATCTCTTTCTTATAGAAC